TTGTTTCTTACACGACCACTAGAGCACCTCTAGTGGTCATGTAAGAAACAACATACACATAGGCGGCGCGTGAGGCTCAGGTTTGGGAAGGCTAAATAACTTGTTTTACCTGACGCTGCCCGCCTCCGGCGTCTATAGAAAAGAGATCAACTCAGTGAAAGCAGTGCACCGCCTGCTGACCAATCAGAGCTCAGTGTGTGGAGTTTAAATCTATCAAGTCATATTACAGGATAAAGGAAATACAGTTTAAACTGCCGTATGTAGGGAAGACGCCGACGTGTCACACTTATCATTCATATCACATCATCAATCAGATCATCGATCATATAATATCATAATATATCATATACAGTGGGGCAAAAAAGTATTTAGTCAGCCACAAATTGTGCAAGTTCTCCCACTTAAAAAGATGAGAGAGAGGCCTGTAATTTTCATCCTACATAGGTACACTTCAACTATGAGAGACAGAATGGGGGGAAATAATCCAGGAAATCACATTGTAGGATTTTTAATGAATTAATTGGTAAATTCCTCGGTAAAATAAGTATTTGATCACCAACAAACTCCACTATGGCCAAGACCAAAGAGCTGTCAAAGGACATCAGAAACAAAATTGTAGACCTGCACCAGGCTGGGAAGACTGAATCTGCAATAGGTAAGCAGCTTGGTGTGAAGAAATCAACCGTGGGAGCAATTATTAGAAAATGGAAGACATACAAGACCACTGATAATCTCCCTCGATCTAGGGCTCCACGCAAGATCTCACCCCGTGGGGTCAAAATGATCACAAGAACGGTGAGCAAAAATCCCAGAACCACACGGGGGGGACCTAGTCAATGACCTGCAGAGAGCTGGAACCAAAGTAACAAAGGCTACCATAAGTAACACACTACGCCGCCAGGGACTCAAATCCTGCAGTGCCAGACGTGTCCCCCTGCTTAAGCCAGTACATGTTCAGGCCCGTCTGAAGTTTGCTAGAGAGCATTTAGATGATCCAGAAGAGGATTGGGAGAATGTCATATGGTCAGATGAAACCAAAATAGAACTTTTTGGTAAAAACTCAACTAGACGTGTTTGGAGGAAAAAGAATGCTGAGTTGCATCCAAAGAACACCATACTGTGAAACATGGGGGTGGAAACATCATGCTTTGGGGCTGTTTTCCTGCAAAGGGACCAGGACGACTGATCCGTGTAAAGGAAAGAATGAATGGGGCCATGTATCGTGATATTTTGAGTGACAATCTCCTTCCATCAACAAGGGCATTGAAGATGAAATGTGGCTGGGTCTTTCAGCATGACAATGATCCCAAACACACCGCCCGGGCAATGAAGGAGTGGCTTCGTAAGAAGCATTTCAAGGTCCTGGAGTGGCCTAGCCAGTCTCCAGATCTCAACCCCATAGAAAATCTTTGGAGGGAGTTGAAAGTCTGTGATGCCCAGCGACAGCCCCTCGTCCTCGTCCCCTCGCGCCACCTCAGACCTGGAGCAGGCTCGACCTCAGACCAGCGGCGAGGAGGAGCTGCAGCTGCAGTTAGCTTTAGCCATGAGCAGGGAGGAGAGTCAGAAGGTAATACACACACACACACACACACACACACACACACACACACACACACACACACACACACACACACACAAACACACACACTCAATGATTAAGCTTTTCATTCCAAACCAAATTCCAGTCACTAAAGGTCCATGAACCATTGCGCAAAAATTGAATGTAGCCTTTAAATGTTTATTCATTCAATTTTAATGAATATATTAAATCATTAATTCAGTCATTATAGTGGCCTTATCATGGCACTAGGTAATGATAATTTCCTCTATCTCCTTTCAATCACACCTTTACCCTCTTCATTCACACTTTGGATATCTCCATAGATCTAAATATTTTTCAGGGATCATGTTGTTGGATACATTTATGGAGGGAAGAGAATCAGCTTGTTGGTCTCCTTGGATGGACGGAAACATAATAATAATAATAGATTTAATTTGTTAACGCTTTTACAGGTGCTCAAAGACGCTTTACAGATATAGTGAAGGGAAAAGAAAAGGAAGGAACAACAAATAAATAATTAGTTAAAATTAAAGTCAATAATACAAAAACAATCACACATTAAAAGCCAGGTTGAAGAGGTGAGTTTTTGTGAGTTTTTTGAAGGTGGTGAGGTCACTGATGGGTTGTGGGAGTGAGTTCCAGAGGGAGGGGGCAGCGACGGAGAAGGCTCTGTCCCCCCAGGTCCGGTGATTGGTGCGGGTGGGGATGGATAGGAGGTTGGCTTCTGATGAGCGGAGGCAGGGAAGGGGCGTGGTGGTGCAGCAGGTCTGTGAGGTAGGGGGGATACTCGAATAAGGCAGAATTTATCATTTGTGTCAAAATGTTATTGGATTGAATATTTTTTCATACATTTAAAATACCTTTGGGCTGGTGGTGTGGGCCGAAATTCACATATAAACATTGCTGTGAAGTGTTTCCTCAATTAGCCGTATCCACCTCTCACAGATGGCTTTAGCAGATTGATCCAGAGAGAGCGGAACACAGGATGGAAGATGTTTTTTGCCCACTGTAATATGTTTTCAATGACCTCCTGTTTACATAATGTATTTTCCACTATCCTCCCTGTAGACTTGCAACATCTGAACCGCCCATCTGGAGCATTGGCTGGCCCCAGTAGTTAGACAAATATGACAGTCCCTAAAATAAAATAGTTTCCGGCAAGGGAGGAGTCAACACAAACCAACTATTTGATCTGTTTTTGTAGCAGGGTGGGTTGAGTCTTTATTGTCAGGGTTTGAGTTTTGTGTGTATAGTTTTGGGGTTATTTTGCTGTTCTGTTCTCCCTGTCTCATGTTTTCCTCCTTGTTTCTTGTCTGGTCCCTCTCCCTGTGTTTTCCTTCCTGTCATTAGTTTCCCTGGTGTGTCTGATTGTCTAATTGTGTTCACCTGTTGCCCTTGTGTTTCTACCTCCCCTGCCCAGCTGTTTCTTACCCCTCTCTGTATTTGGTCTTGTCTTTCCCTGTGTTCCCCTGTCGGTTCATTGTTTTGTCTTTCCTGTCTCCCTCCATGTCAGTCACCGTCAGCTTTTTGGTATTGTATCTTCCTTGTGCTTCCTTTGTGTTTTTTGCCATGTTTTTGCCATCAGCTTTTAAAATAAAGCTCACTTTTGTTTTCTAGACCAACTTACCTTTTTTGTAGTCTGGTTTTGGGTCCTACCTTTCCCAAACCGTAACATTTATTGGTCTGAGCTTTAAGTAATGAGACTCTGGTTACTCATTAAGCAATCAGTAAAAGATTGTTTCTCTTTTGGTGATAGATATTCTTTGTGAGGTTGGGAAAATACCAACAAGGTTTTAGTAAAAGCAGATTTCCTAACAGACTGGTCAAGATTGTGATGCTTAAGAAGATTTACTCAATACTTAGAAATACTAACTAACTTGGGATGTGCTTTCAAGGTCATCAATAATAGTCACACATAAGAACACGATATGAGCAGTCAAAATACTTCTTTATTAAGGTGAGCTTGTATTCTGTGGCCCTATCATCCAAGAGGCGTACAATTATCTAATTAAGGTGAAAAAATTGGTATTTGAGTCTTTCTACCAGATGGTTAGTTGATTAAAACATATTAAAAACACATTTTAACATTAATACAAATCTACCTAGGTTACCTAATGCTATCGGTTGTGCAAATTTGCTTCGAATAAACAGCGGGAGATGGAACGACAGCTGAGCGCACATTCATTAGCATCACAGCCTACACCTAGCAGGATTAGCTGAGTTCTCATAAGAAGAGATGAATAAACACAGAAGAATAACTCGTATTTAGCTATACGGTAATTCATTAAGATAATAGAGCACAGATTTCAACCAACTTCTAATTGTTTCTGTCGCAAAATGGTCAAAATATCTATTTAGGCTTATTAATCATACATTTGACAGAGGATAAAGTTATTTTGCAAATAGGAAATTGTTTATCTGGCATGCTTTTCAATTCAGTATTGAGAGAAAGTCTGATCTCTCTCTCAATACTCACAGCTTAAAAAAACGCAGATAACGTTTTATTCATTTTTTGATATCGCTATCGGTGTATTTATTTATCCTAACTATCTATATTTAATTTCCCATTTAGTTTGGTGAAGGCGATGGGCCCTAACTCAAAAGAGAATGAATGCAGTAATAGCAAAGACTCCATAATTGAATCCAAGATTAACGTTATAAATAATCTATCATGAATCTTGAATGCATTTATTCATATAAAACAAATCCTAATTTGAAAATGGCAATGGATGTTTTTAAGAAAGGAAAATGTGCAATACATACAGAGCCAAAGCCAAACCCTTACTTTCAAAATCCTCCCATGCATTCTCATTCTGTAGTCTTTACATACAGTAGGGTGACATTCAGGCGATTCCCATGAGAGACATTGTGATATGATAAATAATCATGCAATATCCTCTGCTGGCTTATTTTACAGCCACGCAGTGAGCCGCCTCCAGTGGTTTATGTTCTCTGTTATATGTTAATACAGGCATGGGGAGGGAGGCTTTTCAGAGAGATTACAAGATCAATCACACACAAGAACACCCTTACAAAAACACACATTATTGACATGTATGTGCAACCGATATATAATTTATCCGCCAACAACTAGTTACCCTCTGCGCAATAACACGCTGAGCAGTCATTATAATTTCATGTTGCATCTCCAATGAATCACGTACTGTATCTTGATTGATGGTAAGTCCACTGATTGGCTTTGCAGTCAACAATGATGGGGAATAACTGCCCTATGATATGCATGAGCACACCGATATTTATTCAATATTTCAGCCAATGTTGAAACATAGTCGGGTTTTTGTTGTCAAAAGTACGTCAGCAAGTGACTGGCAGACTCACTGCATAACTGCGGAGGAATGACACTCATATCTCTCTATACATTGACAACACTTCCTGACACTTTTTTGCTGACAGAATTCAGTTTAATTGGATCCACAGACATATATGAGACACAACAATTTGGCTTTTATATAAAACTTTTGACATTTTTTTGCTTTGGACCCCGTCCTGACATTTGCAATATGGAAAGTAAAGGACAAGTACAATCATGTTTGTGTCTTTCTCAACGTAATAATTCATGTTTATTCTTTTCTGTCACCTGGACTGCAAGCGAAAGCACAGAACAACAACACATCCCTCCACCAACACGTCCTTGACTCTCTAATACCGGTATTAACTTTTATTACAAGTTAGTTTAATATGTACAGTTCTCTCTCTTACACTTCAATTGAGTGCTTGTTTACTATCTTTGTAAAAATCCTTGTTGGTTTCAAAAATGGATAATACCAAGAATTAAATCCAGATCCGATTCCACATTTTCAAGTGAGTCATGTGTTGTTAATGTGGATTTTGAAATGGAGAACCTTTTTTTATTGTAATTGGACTATTATCCATTGTGTAAAAAAGCACTTCATGTTCTGTTTGCCTCCATTCAACAGAATACTGTTTGACTGAAAAGCAGTTTCTGGTGGCATATTCTTTAATTACATATATACACTTAAATATCACCCATAATTCTCCATTGTCCTTATACATTCAGCCACAAAACTCAGTTTAAAAAGAAAGAAAAGGGGTTATTATAAACACAGAAGGGAGGACAGGAATGTGCATGAAGGATACCAGAATAACTTAAACATTCAAGTCTCTCTAAAGATCAAAGCAACTTCTTCCTCAACACATCAATAGTCGGTAATAGTTCTGTCCTCATCCTGTTACAAACAAGACATCACGAGTCATGCATGTTGAAGTCACATTCAGTATCATGACACCAAAAGAACAAAAATAAATGTTTTTTCTTGGCACTTTTGAGATTTTTTTGTAGAAGAGTACCACAAATGAGCATCCATTGCTGGAACCTTTCATACAACACAAGTGTGACTCACAACTCACGACGACAACATCAGTACACATGACTCATGACATACGAGTGATGTGAGCAGGGTCCTATTGGGAGTCCTCCATATGTACATGCACGCACGCACGCAAACACACACGCACACGTGTACACACACACACACACACACACACACACACACGCACACACACACACACACACACACACACACACACACACACACACACACTCTAGTCACCATTAGAAAGCTTATTTTGAGTGTATTGAATCTGAAGTGAATCGTTCTTATTAGCTTAAGGTCCCAAAAACATTAAATATTAATTTGCAGCAGGCTGGTTAAAACATTGTGACCTTTGGGGTCCTCTTTCTCTTCCCACTCAGGCTGCCTTGTTTGCACATGTTAAAACACTGATCCGAAACATCTATAAGCACAGTTTTATTCTTCGTGACGAGGTCTTTACAGCAGGCCGCCCTCAGACATTAGTCTCCTCCCCTTCAACAGTGTTTGTGTGCAGCTTCTCCTCCAGAAACGCCTCCTCTGTGGCCGTGCTCACGTGACTGCTGGCGCCCCGGTGTGGCAGGAAAGAGAACTGCAGGGTGTGTCTGCTCTTTGTGGTCCCGCCGTTCCCCGTGCCGTTGCTATAGGAAACCACTAGTCTGCGGTTCTCCTCGGGTGCGGCTGAACAGGAGGGCTCAGCTTTGTTGAGGCGAGGCGAGTCACCGCCGGGGTCGCTGGCGTTGTTGTCGTGGAGATAGGGCAGATTGCCAGTGGCAATACTGCCGCTCTTGAGGTGCGGCGTGTGGCTGTGGGTGTGGCGGTACTCCTCGTCAATGTCCTTACCCAGTTTCCACCTCTTCCACTTTTTTAGCATCTCTGACTGCACCTGCAGGATGGGAAAACAGCGGACAGACGAATGAACATATGTGATGAAGATTAAATAAGACACCAAGCACTTCATCAGATGGATTTGTCTTGCGTAACATTATATTTAAAGGTGTAGAGATGAGCTGACATAAGATGTTGTGTCTGTCGCACGTTGTAGACAAAAGGATAAAGTGGATTATTAAGATTTAGAGATACACCAAGGAACGATAAAGGCTGGTAACAGAAATGCTGATGTAAAATGTCTAGTTTATCAGCTCTAAAAGAGAAAGGGAGGAACTCCAACGATAGCAGAGATTACATTAAGGTGCATCTTGATGTGAAAGCACATCTGTCTCACCTCTTTGTTGATGAAGCAGTACAAAATAGCAACCAGCAGGCCCTGAAACACAAAGTGGAGTTTTAATATTTCAGTCATGGAAGATACTGGTGATGAAACCAATGATACGCACTTTGTACTGGGTTTTAACGGACAGAGGTCTAACTATTTCATCTGTTAATTATTATCAACAAATACCCTGGTATCACTTTGGCCTTTATATTACTCCAAAGCAAGCCTGTTGTGAAGTGATTTCAGAACAAACAGAACATGTGTATCATATTTAAATTAGATGGCACACAATGCCAAAGGTCTTTGTTACTAAGTTAGACAAGCACAACTTAAAGGTGGGGTAGGTACGTTTCAGAAATCGGCTCGAGATACACTTTTTTGTTATATTCCATGGAATGCTCTTAACATCCCGATAGCAATGAATATTAAGTGCTTTGACAAAAAAATCCATAACAAAATGTCATCTGTGGAAGCTGTAGCCGGGCCGGCTAAACGGATTGGATTGCCGCCCTGTCTGTCAGCCTTCCATCTCGTGCACGCACAAATGTATCTCGTGCCCTCATTGGGCGTGCCGTCATTGGGCGTGCCGTCATTGGGCGTGCATTGCAGCAGTACTTCAATGACTCGCCAGCAACAGGCGGCCACTTTCACCAGTCTGCTGACGTCATGTGTGCGTTCATGTGTGTTGGAGGAGGTGCTCTGTAAGGAAGTCTGAAGGAAGGGGCGGATTCTTTTCGGCTGTGTACTTTCAAATTTTAGTGCACTCGAGCCGGTTTCTGAAACGTACCTACCCCACCTTTAAAGAGTAGGCTATATAAAAAACTTCGTAGTGAATATTCTTTTGGATGCTGATTGACAGGTTGCTGTAATGCACCAAGGAAATCAGCAATGCAACAACAAAGGCATGGAAGAATAGCAATCACAGCAAGAAACAATACAGGTTTCACATTTTTCAAAGGGATTGACTTTGTAGATTTTATAAGGAAGGAAAAGAGTGTAGTTGTTAGACCTCGAGGGAAAACATCATTCATTTGGTTGAGTGACACTGTATGTAAAAGAGAAACATGGTTATTTAGAAAAACTCCACTGGGCATCTTTAAATATGAATCCTATCAATCCATTATTCATCCATTTGTACAGCATTTTACGCACAGTTACTTGTTCCCAATTAAAGAAATGTTGAGAAAAGGAGAATATGATACTGATTAAACACAGTTTGACACCAACACAGAATAAGATCATTTAACGGTCACCTGTTATGCAAAATCCACTTTTTCTTGTCTTTTACATGTATACATAAAATGGTGTCCCCTCTGTGTTAAGTGATTCAGAAAGTTTCAGGTAAAAAGATTCTCTCACTTTTTGTCCTGATCCATTTATATAAAAAACCTGTCTGAAAATGAGCTGATCAGATTTTGGGCACTTTGTGATGTCACAATGCTTTGTTTGGGTTGTGTAACCATTAGCCAATCACCATCCAATAACCAGCCACCTTATCACCTGGATCTCATCTTAGAGCACCATTGTGTTTTTTAAACCAATCATCTCGCAGAGGGGCGTGGCCAGCAGCAGCTCATTAGCATCTAAAGTAACAGACACAGAATCAGCATTTTTGGAACAGGGCTGAAACAGAGGGGTTTATGGGATGCTACAATGGATGATCTGTTTGGTGTTTCGAGCCAAACTATTCAGAGACATGTTTTGTATATATCTGAGACCTATAATATATTGTTGAGAAAGGGTATAATATGGGAGCTTTAAAGTAGACTATTTATTACAGATTAATCAAAAAGTAATACTTAATACTAGTCAGATGCGTTTAAAGAAATTACAAAAGGCTAAGGAATTACTTTGTATACAACATAAACAATTAAAACAGGAGAGAACACGGATAGACACACTGACATCAATATTTGAGATTCATGTGGAGGTGAGCTCTGACCTGGAAAGAGTTGAAGAGCAGGTCGCAGAAAAGGCGAATGAGGCGCAGCATGGAGCCTTTAGGGACGGACTCATCGATGACGAAGGTGAAGAGGATGGCGTGAATCCCAAGGAGGGGAATGAGGGTCAGAGTGGACTTTGCTAATCTGGACCAGGGAAAGACAAAGAGGGAGATAACATCATATTTCCAAACATGTTAGACACTGCTCATTCTGCTTTGTTACGACTTTCACCAGGTTTCAAGATCGAGGCAGGACTCACCTGAACTTGTAGTCAGTGTATCTCATCTGATGAGCTCTGAGCTTAGACATCAGGATTTTGATGATCCGTATGAATATGAAGACATTAATCTGTAATAAGAAGAGGGGGGGGATCGAAATGATGCAAACACATGCGTTCTGTAAATGTTTACATGACAAAATAGGTAAGAGAGACAGATATTCCCCAAAATGCCTTTCTGAATATTTCTGTGCTCTGTGGGATTTCAGCTGGCAACACACACCACACACACACGCACACACACACACACACACACACACACTGTGATGTAGTGCAGACCCTCTCCAATGACAGAGAACATTAATTATTGCAGCACTCAAGATATTAGCGCTCCAAATTTGGTATCATGTGTGTTGTCTCAACAGATGTGTTGGTCCAAATATGTGTGAGTGCACACAAACGCAGTTTATTTAGGTGTGAATATGTGTGTGTGAACTTTAGAGTTGTATTGTGGATTGCTGGAGGATGACATACACAACTGTTCGGCAACTAATTCAGAGATTACGATTAAGAGAGTTTTTCCACAGAGCACAATCTGTGTGACTTCCACAGTGTATGTATGCCACTTACGGGTGTCTGGATATTTCAGCTTGTGTGTGAACACACGTACGCTTTTGCATGAGTTCACAAAGGTTGCTATGTGAATGTGCACTTGTTCTAATACTGTAAGTGTGTCCATCCATAATGTTGTTTGTCACTATGGGAACAAGAGGCAGGAAACACACAGGTGGAATACCTCTACTTATTTATGTTTGGGAACGTATGTGTGTGTGTGTGTGTTTTGGTTAATTTTATTATTGGATTCTCACTATTATGAAGGTGTTGCCAGTTTAATCTATAAACAGACTCACACTAGGCCGTGAGATGGCTAACAAGATAAAAAAACTTTAATCAAACTTAAATGCTTCACATAATACTTCTCTTTTCCAGAATACATTTTTAGAAGTTTAATATCCTCTTTACCTGGTAAATAAGATAGAAGATAATACACACAAACATCTGTAATTAAAACATGTTTAACAAAAGAGGAATTTTTGGTGCCAATTTATTTTTATTTTTATATTGTGTAAAACTGTGATTCATTTCTTGCTACATTTTGCATGGTTCACTTCAGTGAAAACCTGAGTCCAGTCACAGTCTGTCGTCCCCAGGAGATCTAAAGTTCACCCAAACACTTGACTGAACTGGCTAATTTCATTATTTTCTACTCCATAAAATCATTGTTGGACGCCACACCCGACTGCACGGAGAGGCATTCTGTCGATATTATCTATAGTACTCAGCGAGGAGGGATCATAGTGGCACTGATGTACAAGAGGGGATGCGGGGAAACTGCGAAATTAGGTGTCATTCTAAGAGGAGTTTTACACTCGCAACCCAACTTCTATAAACTTTCTAACATGCATACGTTCATAGAAGCACATAAAGCATGTTTTTAAGGGAGACATTTTGACATGTCATAGTAGGGAAATCACAGAGGTATTTAATCACATGAATTATGGATTCATCTAACTGAGGGGAGGTCCTGCTCTTGTGGCTCATTAAAACGCTAACTTGGACACTTAATGGAACTGGGCCATATTAGCATTTTCATGTGTGCTCTTTCTACACAGGTCAAATTGTCTGCTGTGAAAAAGTTAAATAGTGAATACTCTCTCTGCCTTTTCTGCCTGTGGCGGGGTCATGAGGAAACGGTTCACACCTTTGCTTTCTTCCTTGGGACAAATATTTGACTTTTGGTTGATGATACAGCTCTTTGTTATTCTCTTTTATCATGGCTGTGCAGCCCGGTATTTGACAGTGTCTTTATTCACAGCAACTTCTGCCAAGACTAGGGTTGCAAAATTCCGGGAATTTTCAAAGATGGAAACTTTCCACGGGAATTAACGGGAATAAACGGGAATTTATGGGAATAAACTGGGAATTTTCTAAATTGAAGGATGGCTCTTCATAGGGAAACATAGTTGGGGAAAGTATATTTTAGCATAATATTGACTAAAACAAACAGATGCCATTCAAGTACACTTGAATATCCATGCCATAGCACACTGCTTACTGCATGGCTATTGAGACCACACAAAGGTTCGCAACAGGCTCACAAATGTGAGAGTGGAAAAACTGGTTGGCATTCGGGCAAACCTGGCTCTTTGAGCCTGACACAGAGCCATCCTCAACAAGGCTGGACAGTGACACTGAAGAGGAAGACTCAGAGTTGGATGTTGATGAGGCCCAGGAAGAGCCCGTTGACTGAAAGGCTTTAGCAAAAATGCAGAGGATTGCTTGAAGGAAGATGTTCATGTTTAATGGGACATTTTGGAGGGAGAAGGGCTCTTTTCATTTAACATTTTGAATGGGACTTTGTGGGGATCTTTGGATGGGGGGTGCATTTTTGTTCGTTTTTTAATGAGTGGGGTTGGGGTGGATGAGTAACATTTAACTCAACATTCCTGTTTTCGTTCTTCAATGAAACAAATAATTGTTCAATAAAATAATTAAAACTTGTTCTGTTCTACTTTTTTTTTAAAAGTTAAAAAAAAAAAATCTGTTGAAATGTCATGTTTTTTTGTTTAATTTTGCATTGAATATTTCTGAAATTCCCCAGCTTAACTTCCCATGGAAACTTTCCGGAAATGTACCGAAAACTTTCCGCCCCTTTGCAACTCTAGCCAAGACACACTTTGTGAATGTCAGCTGCTGTGTGTGTCTGTTTGGGTTTGTGTGTTTTTGCGTGCATCTGTAGCTCCATCACATGCCAGCACACTCTGTACCTGAATTTACTTTGACCATTTGTTCAAATGTATAGTGACAGGCAGAAAATCATTGGGCAAGGAACAAACAGACAGACTTACCAGATAAGCAAATAGTATAGGGGAACGGATAATCCACCAATATCCCATGTTAATATTCCTCTCCCAGCACCTACACACACACGCACACACACATTATACATTGTAAATGATTGCTGTTTTTTTTTGTGATTTTGTCACAAGATATTCATACAGTGTGGTAGGAATTCACAGATAAAAGCTGTTACATTCAAACTGCCTTACATATTATGTAACAATAGCATTATTGAATGCTATTACTGTATGAAAAGTGACTTACTCTTCGTTTTCGTACAGATATTTCACTGTGATCCACGGCAACACGAATATGAGCGGTGCACCTGAGAACGAATGTGAGAGTGAACGTTATAAAGTTGTTGAAACAAAGATTAATGATGATATCATGGAAATGGTGCTCCTGATAGATCATCTGCCACACAACTTAATACAGTTTGAGCTATATTTATTATTTTACCCGGTTATCATGATGACAATATTTAATTTTATTGTTCAGTATTACACATGATGATGAGTTTACAAATCTCATTATCTCGAGACTAATAATTCTTGTTTCCCCAATGAGGACATGGAAGGTCTTTAAGTATGAAAGTGTCTGTCTGCCTCTGTAAAGCTTTATCTAATCTGTTCATGAGGCGGGTCTCTTCTTCAGACATGATCTCACCAACAGTTGGACCATCCAGTGAATATCTTAGTGAGACCACGATTTGTTATCTCCGCTCAGTGAGGAGCTTCATAATCAGGGAAAACAGTGTTGGACATCTCAAGATAACTATATCATTTAATTGGAGTAGCAAGCTACAAATTAAATATGAGCATCATAAAGTCATTAACAAGAACATTAAGATGATGTTCCCAAGAAAGCACACATGTTTTTGTTGTAATTATTATGTGTCCTGACAATTCATACTTTTTGAATGAATATATTTGAATTTGTTGATGTACACAATATTTTTCACAGTCTTAACCTACATGATATCCCACTGTCTTGGGCAGTATTAGTGCAAAGTAAAAGAAAAAATAGAAAGCCCTTTGATATTCCAGAGGGAAATCTGAAGCACTTGAGTCAGTCAGTTAGTCTGTCAACTACAAATGTGAAAATGAAATAAATGTGAGAGTGTGCAGTTAGAAAAAGGTGAGATAATCAGTCCTCTGTGGCCAGCTCCTCATCTCTCCTTTTTATTTGTGTTGGCTCCTTATCCTCGCTTGAGACTTAATAACGCAAATAGCTTAATGAGCGGTTGGTCGTCAAGTTGCCTTGTGGGTAACGAAGGTACCAGGTTTTGACGATGAAGTATGTACTGAATAAAAAAATAAAAAATTCTGCTCTCGAGTGTGATACTTTTAGAAAAAAAATTGTTGTTATTAAAAACGATCTCTTTGTGTTTGCTTGTTTGTTTGTCACTAAGTATCATCACTTCAAAACAACTGTTGACAGGAGGCCCTTGCTGATTTGAATCACTTCACTAAATTACCTGACTGCCTGAGAAAGGATACTTTAATGTATCTTGCTTTTCCACTAGGGGTAGTTCCGTCTCAGGGCTACTTTTTCACCTTTTTTCTGGCCCTCCAAAATCAAGGTTCTTACCGGGCCAACAACCGGGCTGAATATGCTAAACTAGTGGCGTAAACACTCTTGACTGGTCGGAGAGAATCGCTGGCAAGGGGGCTACAACAACTACAACAAAATGAACATATTTTACCGTGATTTAATTGTAATACAGTACACGTTTCAAAATGATGCCGAAGCAACAACATACTGATACCGGTCTGCAGAAAAGACGGCAGGCACATTTTTTTTTTAAATGCGTGTTTTCTGAATGGAGATTGGATCAATCAGGCTAAGCTAACGCAGTATGCTCTGACAGTCCACACTCACAACAACGGCCTACAGACATAAATAAACCCGCGACTGTATTCGCCATGACACAGACAGTCTGTGGTTTGTACTTGTTTAACTTGTGTCCAGTTTCTGAACAGATATGAGGAGCTGTGATCTCTGAGTGCTAACAGCTAAGAGAGGGGTCTGCCTGCAGACCTCCACTCTCAGTACAGTTCCGGTGCAGACCTCCACTCTCAGGACACCTCCACTCTCAGGACAGGAAGTGCACGCTAAGAATTCCAAAATAAAATCACCACTACCAGTACAGTGCCACTTTCCAAACAGGAAATGCACGCAAATACAAAATAAAATCGGATCTTGACGGATCGTGACACTTATTATATACATATGTATATATCTATATATATATACAGACACCTTGTATTGTTGTTACTATCAGTACAGCCGCAGCGCCACTTTCCGAACAGGAAATGCACGCAAATACAAAATAAAATCGTACTGACACTTATTATCTACAAAGATATATTTATTTATATATATAAATACGACATCTTGTATTGTAGTTACACCAGCTAGACAACAGTGGAAGGTTCGAGAAATAACCGTGTTTGCCGGGTGCACCGCGGCGGAGGTGGGAAGGTTCCAGCTGGGAACCTCCACCCCGCTGCGGGACCCGTGGGACCCCTGGACGGTGCGTCTTGGTCACGCTTCATATCGGCCGGCCCGGGAAGGAAGAGACACGTAGAGTGGGGGAAGTCCCCCACCCCAACGCAGCACACCCTCCCGGCCATCAGAGTCGAACCCGCAATTCGGAGGAACCGACCGCCAGAGCACCGGCACTAGGCCGGGCCGGTGTGGAGGCCCTCCGACAGTGGGTCGCGTTTGCCATTCGATCAGTGAGAGGAGAGGAGAAAAATGCAACAAAAATTGTCAAAATCCGTTAATATATGGATGAGTGGGGGGAGGGGGGGGCTGGACACAGACCGTGGGGGGACACCCGAGACCGGGCAATGTCCCCGGTAGAAACCGGGTGAAATGGCCAAAAAAATGTAAAATAATAAAACCGGGGAAAAGTGAAAAAAAGTGTCCGAAAATAGGCACTCGTGAGGCGGGCAGAGTCCCCTGTCAACTCCCGTTACATTCCTCCATGGTGTCATTTGAGTGAAAAACTTTGGCTGAGGGGGTCAAACGGGCTTGACCAAGGCCGACCCATAGTGCACGGTGGGCGGACTCATCACCTCCGTGATGAGTCTCCATTGTGATTTGAAAACTTCCATCAAACGAGTCCTTCGGTGGGCGGGAAAAAAAACGCGTCAGAATCGTCACTTCCTGTACTGACAGTGGAGGTGTCCTGAGAGTGGAGGTCTGCAGGCAGGCTCCCATGACAGCTAACGGCTGATGTTTTGGTTTTGTGGTTCGCAAACTTCGCATTGAAGATGACGTCACGGCAGTTTTACGCAGCGCCGCTCGACCCACCTACACTGCGTTACGGTAGTTACGACCCCTGTTACTAAACTGTAATGGAAACACAGCATAAACTGAGCCTGACCTACCAAGGCCTAACCATACCGTACTAAGCCGTGCTAGGTCCTGCAGTGGAAAAGTGCCATTAGATACTTGTTGACCATCCATGTCCGAATACTTCCTGTTGCCGTTAACCTTGTTCCTTTGAACAACTGCTCAAATAGACTGTTTGCTGTTCTCCTTCTTGGTAAAATGTATGTTTTCTCTTCTCACTTAGTTGAACTGTATTTGTTTGGTTAAAAAATAACAGCAATACAGGTTATTTTATAAGTGTCAATGTCTATGTTAGTCATTTTCTAATTTAGATGTAATCAGCGCATTGGATGGGCATCATCAGCCTCATGTATATTGGTAATGAAAAGAAGGTTGATGGGCCGTCATCACTTAAAGGTGGGGTATGTCATTTTGGAGAAACCAGCTCGAGTGCACTAGAATTTGAAAATACACAACCGCAAAAAATCTGCCACTTCCTTACAGAGCCCCTCCTCCAACACACACGAACGCGCACATGACCAATGAGGGCACGAGATAAGTTTGTGCATGAGATGGAAGACTGACAGGCAGGTAGGCCATCCAGTTACTTTAGCCGGGCCGGCTAAAATGATTGGTCGTGCTTTTTACAGCGCTGCGGCTTCCACAGATGACATTTTTTTATGTATTTATTGTCAAAGCATTTCATATATTCATTTCTATCGGGATGTTAAGAGCATTCCATGGAATATAACAACAAGTGTTAATGAAATAAAATACATACCCCACCTTTAATCACATGGTTGATCCACGATGCAAGAACTAAACCTCTTATGGCCATAATTATTATAATGGGAGAGAAAGAGTGTAAAGAGCCTGTGGCCTCCAAGAAGACCTGAGGGCGGCAGAGAGTCATACTTTAAAGAACAAACTCAAGAACCACCTTTTTGATTTGATTTAACAGAATTTTATTTTAGTCTTATCTTATTCCTTTTTATTCTTATATTTATTTGTATTTTTTATTTTATATTATGAACTGTTTTTTTAATCACAAAGCTATGTGTTACTCTGGTTATACCTTGGAAGGAGGGGGATAGTATTGTTTTATTTTTTGTAAATTGTGTTTGGTTTGTGAAGCACTTTGAGTTACCTTTGTGTATAAAAAGTGCTGTATAAATAAAGTTTGACGATTGACGATTGAGGAATCAAATTGCCGATAACACCCAACAGGTGAGCAGTTTTTCTTACCCCAGCCAATGGCCAGATAAATGTAGAAGTACTTCCTCTCGCTGAACACGGTGATGACGAGCAGGCTGTGCAGGTAGATGCCCTCCACCAGCAGCCAATAGTTGTTGGCCATCACGCTGTACTGCATCATCACCATGGCACCTCGACACCACGTAACAGCCTGAACACGACACAGGATGGGGGTGGTGCGAAAAAAACAGTAAGCCAAGGAGAGACCTTCTGTTATTCTACACAAGATGGAAATTGTGCAGCGAAAATACAATGCTCAGAGTCCTTGTCCCTGTCCTTCACATCACGTGTTTGATTCTAGCACACAATCTTTGCTCACAGCAGAATATGTTGAAACACAAATCGTTTGCTCCTATTTTCAGAAATAATAAAATACTTTCTGCACATTAAAGGGGCTTATTCTCATTCATTTGTTAAAATCTGTGTAAATGAGCACTTCTGCTAAAATAATCCTTCCACCTGGCAGTTGAGGCATATGTAGATGCAGATTACACAGCATGAATATCAGGCTAAGGCTGGTCATTTGTATCACCACTTGAGAATGTGCAATGTTATGTTGAAAAACCAATGCATTAGTGACTCTAAACTGTGAAGTGGATGGATTATCTTGGAGCAAACTGCTCACTAACAAATATGTGCACATCATTTGAGAGGCATTAACTTGTTGAGTGCATTTAAAGTTCTCCTGAAAAATGAGAGTGAAAACAAATATGCGGTTTTTATGTGTGTGCTCAGTGTGCAATATCAAACCAAATAGATTTCCAATGTCGCTTACACTTCGGCACTTTCGCAGGAAATCACATTTGTTGTAGTGGCCATTTTGTCATTATTAATGTGAAATGTACGCAAGGCCGTTTGTACCATTTTAAATAAGATAAATTGCATATATCTCCGAAGCAGATGTAGAGAAGCTTAACAAGAAAGGAGTTAGAGGAACTTGAGGGATCGGCATGTGTTGGAGTTTCTGGGTTTTGTTTTTCTCTCTGATATTAAATATTCACAAGTTGAGATGTATTCTCTATGAGCTGATGATGATGTATGACATTTCAAACTAATATTGTCCTTCAGACTTTTCCTTGGGGATTTAACTTCCATTCATGAATCACTTGTAGGGGGACTCAATATTTATTGCTTTGTATAATAGCTCATTTCTCATCAGAACCCTATTAAGTTATGTATCTAGCTGTACAATTTGTAAAAGTCTGTTGAATGTATTCAATGTCCAAAAAGAGGTTGTAACTGCACATATTCAAGAAAAATGTAGTAGCCTAGACTTTGTATGTGCCACAACCCACTGTCACATATTCTCACTATACACTGTAGTGAATTTACAATATGCCCATTAACAGAGCAGGAGGTATTGTGATGTTACCGCAGGGAGAAATGTCCTTATAGAAAGGTATTTCTCTCGTGCTAAATAGCTGCACATCAACACATGAATAGGCGGTGAGGCTGGCGTGATGTTTTGGCTCTGACCGGTATGTTGACCCAGGCTTGTGTCCGGGTGTCCCCCCCGTTCCTGGGGTCCAGAGTGAGGGTCAGCAGGGCGTCTTTGACCAGGATGGACACGGCTCTCAGGATGAACGATGCGAACAGGTTCATGTGGATGTTGTTCCTCATGCAGTGCAGCTTCCTGGTGCAGAGTTGACAGTGTGTGAAATATTTGGACTTTGATATGTTGTATCATATCACTGTAGTAATGCCTGCAGGAACATGACTCTAACACATTCTTCATGTGTTCCTTCCTTATTCCATCAGAACTTACACTGGCTGTCACTATATTGTTTTACACAATGTACCATACCCATCCTGTTCATATTGTCATGTCTAAGAAACTTATTGTGAAAGTTTATTCTTTATGTTAGTTTTGTCATGTCCCTTTGTTCTGTGCTTTATGTTTAGATCGTTAAGTAATTCTCCCTCTCATTTCAGGCCTCCACGCTCCCCGCCCCTATCTGTCTCCTGCATCCGTGATTGTTTTCCCCGCCCTGATTGTTTCCACCTGTTCCCCTTACCCTGTGTATATATTGTGCTAGCTCCCTCCTGTCCATTGCCAGTTCGTTTCCTCATTCTGGACCAGCCTACTCCACGGACATCTCACGTACCTTTAAGCTCTTGATCTTAGTTCTTGTTTTTCCTCAAAAGAGTGTTATTGTTTTCCCTGTTTTGTTACTGTGTCAATTCCAGTAAAGTCTTTATTTTGAACACTATCTGAGTCTGAGTTTGAGTCGTGCATTTGAGTTCATGCCTCAGAGTTCACTCCTTGACACATATTCATACTGTTATATCTTTCTTTTCTTAATGCATATGTATTTATATATTCATACACCTATATGAATATAATAGGCTATATACATCTTATTTAGTTTTATCATGCAGCACATCGTGTCCTATTTTCTGGAACAGTTTTTAAAAAAAAGGTATATCAGGTTATATTTTAAATGTGCAACTGCATGTAATTTATATATATGACAATAAAACATCTTGAATATTGAATTCTGTCGTTCATTCCTTGTTTTTGCATTCCCTGTTTCCCTCCTTTCTATTACTAAACTTATTTTTCCCTGCATCATTCATTCATTGCTTCTTTTTCTTTTCCTTTGTCCTGTTTGTTCTTGTTTTTTTTCTACTACCCCCTTTCTTTTCTTCCCCCTTAATTCATCCCTGCCTTTTCTTCCTTTCTTAGCTTGCTTTGTCTCTTTTCATTTTTCTTCCGCCTTCACGTATTTGTATTCTTCTATTGATTACTTCACCCTTTCTTTCTTACTTGGTAGGAAAGCAAAAAGGGAAAGATTTTTCCCTAATATTATTAATCGCTTCTTTGTCTCTGTTATTCATGCCCTATCTCCTTGCTTTTTTCTCCTTTTCTTTTTTCCTGCCTTCCTTTCTTCTTCCCTTGGTTTCCACTTTATTCTCATCTTTTTCACAACCATTATTGATTCCTTTCCTTTTGTCTTTTCGTTCTTCTACCTCTTTTATCCTCCTCTCTGCCCCCCCCCCTCCTCCTCCCTTCCCTGTTTACTCCTCGTACATGTTGTACCTGAAGGTGATGAGGATGCCCAGGGCCAGTAGCAGAGCCCCCAGGGAGAGCGAGTAGCCCACTGTGTACATGATGCGTAACTGACTTAGGATGCGGCCATACTGCTGCTGCAGAACAAATGGAGAGACATAATCAGTTTCATCGACACACACACACACACACACACACACACACACACACACACACACACACACCTACTACACACCTACACACACACACACACACACACACACACACACACACACACACACACACACACACACACACACACACACACACACACACACACACACACACCATTTTACGTAAATGCGCACAAAGACACAGCACTGTATACACACACCTCACCAGGGTCGTCCTCACACTCGCTGGTATTCTTTCGCGCCCACTGACCGTCTTCACTGCAGACTCTGTAGACCCGACCCTGCTGAACTGTGAGACATTTGACATTACATTTGACATAAGGATGTTATGTGTAGCTCCCACCGTTCAGAAGTGTCTTATGCCCCTTTCACACCAGAGCTTTTTCAGCTCCGGCTCGGAGCTGGAGCCTGAAAAGCGCCGGTTTTTCCTGTTCACACCGCAGCGGCGCCGGCTCTTAGCTCCGGAATCCGGTTCACTTCCAGCTCCAAAAAATTGTCGGTCTAGAGGCAAGAGCTTCGGAGCTAAGAGGTGGCGTCGCTTACGTCTCTCTTACGTCGAGGCGTGCAGGAAACTAAACCCACCTCCCCTGAACATGGGTCGACTGTCATGCCTGCCTACAAGCAGTAGTGCTTATAAACACACTTTATAAGGTCAGGCAACACTAACCAGGCTTCGTGTGATTCTGTTTATTTGTACCTTACTTTGACCATCCGTTCACTGTTATTGATCATTGTGGAGAGAGGCAGACGTGTTGCTTTGTATTATAGCAGCTATCAGATGGAATCAATACATGGGCTGCACAGGTTGTCGTGTCCGACTATCACAAGTAGAATCATAATAAAAATACGCCGGTAAAATGTGCCTGTAGAAAACGGTTTATGCCACAATAGGATAGCAATAGCAAGTAGTCAGTTTAGCTTCGATTGCTATGCTAACATCACCCATTTTATACCAGAGAAACTTTCATAACAGCGTTGTGATGCCAAACAGCGTCAATTCAGACTGACACACATTCAGGGGAACTGGGGATATGTATCAGCTGCTTGTGTGAGTTGGACAGTGAATACTTTAGTGCGGCCGCTGCAGTGTGAGCTAACCGGGTGCTAACGGGAGAATAAACTCCCGTGGAAGATCAGCACTGCAGCGGTCGGTAAATGCTGCAGAAACACATTAATAAACAATGAACCACGGCACTCTGGAGCAAAGTATAAGGTTGGAGAAGTCGTTATAATTTAATCTGGCTTCGTGTGATTAAAAGCAACACGATCATCGACCCGACGCAGTTGTTGTTGTTGTTGTTGTTGTGAACGCCGTAACGCCGTTGAGGAGCAAACCAGCGATGTAAACGGTGAGGTCATGACGCAGCAGCGGCAGCACCCAGTCGGGCTCTGGGCGGTGTGAACAGAGCGGGAGCAGAAAAGGGAAACCGGAGCTGAACCAGAAAAGCTCCTGCTCGGAGCTAGAAAGGGAAAAGCGCTGGTGTGAAAGCCGCATTAATACCCTCACAATCATTTCATTTAGTGACGTTATTTTATCTGAAACAAAAATAAATTGTCAATCCTTCATATGGTTAAAATGAAGCTAAAGCAAGCTAAGCACAAAGACAAGAAGCGGGAAAAAGGTTAGCCTTGATAATAATGAAGGTTAAGGCCCCATTTACACGGGAACGCAAACGAAACGCAAACGACCCGAATTCGATGTCAAAAAAGTATTCCGTTCACACGGATATGGCTCAATAAACGTGTCCCTTCACACGAGACCGCTCGACCCGCTGGAGACGCTGTAGTACATCTGCCGGGCCTGTAAGTGGGGCTGTCCTTCCGCCACAAAATACACAAAAAGCAGCGAAGAAGACCCCCGAGCATGGTTGCCCTTCTGTTCATTCACCGCGGTGGATTTAGTAACATATAGTCAGAGTTGGGTGTAACTGTAATAATATTACTTTTGTCGGTAACGGAGTAGTGTAACGCGTTACTTTTATAATTCAGTAATCACACTACAGTTACTAACATTGCCCCGACACGCGTTACTTCGTTACTTTTATAAAATCAGTCATAATCACTCTGACAGACAAGAGGGGTTTCCGCCGCAGGTTTATATGTACGTAATCTCCGCGACCGCGACTTGCGCGTCCACATCTCCACGTGCAGTGCTGCATAAACATGGCTGAGTCAGAGTTAGCGATAACTTTCGAGGGGTGGAGGTATGCCCATTATTTTGAGTTCGTCCGAAGACTTGACAGGAATGTGACGGTGAGGTGCAAACTGTGTCCAGGCCAGAAGCTGTTATCCACTGCTGTAAACACCACGTCAAACCTAAACAAGCACCTGCAAAGAGCACATGCTAAGGTGAAGCTAATAGCTAAGGACCCCCGAACCCAGGATGTTGTGAGTGCGCTGCCGCCGACTCCGAAGCAGCAAAAAATAGAATTTGGAGGACCGGTAACCAAAGCAGAGATGGACAGGGTTGTAGCATCCTTCATAGTCGAGGAAATGTTTCCCATTTGCACAGTGGAATCACCATCTTTCAGAGATATACTCCACCAGAGGAGGTGGCACTGGTCTCCTGCTCTCTCCCAAATGGAGCTTTTCCCTCTTCAAGCTACCTAACTTCACTCCTTCCACCTTTGAATTCCATGCCGTCACAGTAACCCATCCTATACAGTTAACCATTTTTGTTCTCTACCGTCCACCAGGCGCCTTGGGGGACTTCTTGGAGGAATTAGATAATCTCCTCTCACTCATCCCTGAAACTGGCCCTCCCGCTGTACTTCTCGGAGACTTCAACCTCCAGACGGGGAAGATAGACAAACTAACATCTCTGTTAACCGCCTTTGCTTTCTCACTGTCTCCGTCCCCACCGACTCATAAAGCTGGCAATGTCCTTGATCTCATATTCTCAAGGAACTGCGCTACTTCTAACCTCTCTGTAAACCCGCTCCACACATCCGATCACTTCTTCATTTCATTCTCTCTATCCCTTTCCAAACATAACAAACTAATCTCTTCTCATCCTGCACTTGTCCGCCGTAACCTTCGCTCCCTCTCCCCCTCTAGCTTTGCCTCGTCGGTGCTCTCAGCCCTCCCTTCCTCTGATTCGTTCCATCTCCTGCCTCCAAACTCTGCTGCAGAAACTCTCCTCTCTACTCTCTCATCCACTCTGGACTCGCTCTGTCCTCTCACATCTCGGCAGGCTCGTCAGTCCCCTCCTGCTCCCTGGCTAAATGATGCACTGCGTGCTAATAGAACCGTCCTTAGGGCAGCAGAGCGGAAATGGTGGAAATCCAAACACCGTGACGACCTCCTAACCTATCAGGCTCTCCTCTCCTCTTTCTCTGCTTCGATCTCTCAGGCAAAAAGCACTTTCTTTCAAGATAAGATCCAATCTTCCTATTCCAATCCTAAAAAACTATTTTCCATCTTCTCCACCCTCTTGGACCCTCCAAAAGCTCCTCCCCCCTCCTCACTTCTGTCAAGCGACTTTGTTACCCACTTTGAAAAAAAGGTTGATGATATTCGCTCTTCTTTTTCTGACTCACCTTTACTCACCGCTGGGTCACCAGACCCTCCTTCCACCAACACACTTACCTCCTTTTCCCCTCTCTCTCCAAGTGAGGTTCTTACCCTCATTACCTCTGCCCGCCCTACCACCTGTCCTCTGGACCCTATCCCTTCAAACCTCCTTCAGACTATCGCTCCTGATATTCTACCGTTTCTCACCCATTTCATCAACACTTCTCTAACTTCTGGTCACTTTCCAAACAGTCTCAAGGAGGCAAGAGTAAACCCTCTCCTAAAGAAACCCACTCTCAACCCGTCTGATGTTATAAACTACAGGCCTGTCTCTCTCCTCCCGTTCCTGTCTAAATCACTTGAACGCGCTGTCTTTAAACAACTCTCCTGTTATCTCAATCAGAACAACATTCTGGATCCGCACCAGTCTGGTTTCAAGGCAGGTCACTCCACAGAAACTGCTCTCATTGCTGTCACGGAGGAACTGCACACTGCCAAAACTGCATCCCTCTCCTCTGTCATCATCCTATTGGACCTGTCTGCTGCATTCGACACGGTGAATCATCAGATCCTCCTTCGCACTCTCCAAAAACTTGGAGTTTCAGGCTCTGCACTTTCCCTCCTCACCTCATACCTGAAAGACCGTACCTACAGGGTGACTTGGAGAGGGTCTGAGTCCGACTCTTGTCAATTAACTACGGGGGTCCCTCAGGGCTCTGTTCTTGGTCCCCTCCTCTTCTCCCTGCTCACCACCTCAAGCTCAACCTTGACAAGACTGAGCTGCTCTTCCTCCCGGGAAAAGATTGTCCCACTCTGGACCTAACAATCAACATCGGCACCTCAGTTGTTTCCCCGACTCAGACTGCAAGGAATCTGGGTGTGACCCTAGATAACAACCTGTCCTTCACTGCAAACATCGCTGCTACAACCCGTTGCTGCAGATACACGCTTTACAACATCAGGAAGATACGTCCCCAGCTGACTCAGAAAGCGACTCAGGTTCTGGTCCAGGCTCTCGTCATCTCACGCCTAGACTACTGCAACTCCCTCCTGGCTGGTCTACCTGCATGTGCCATCCGACCTCTGCAGCTCATCCAGAATGCAGCGGCTCGTCTGGTCTTCAACCTTCCTAAATTCTCCCACACCACTCCGCTCCTCCGCTCCCTTCACTGGCTTCCGGTAACTGCTAGAATCCACTTCAAGACACTGGTACTTGCTTACCATGCTGCGAATGGATCTGGCCCTTCCTACATCCAGGACATGGTTAAACCTACACCCCAGCGCGTGCACTACGCTCTGCATCAGCCAAACGACTCGTTGCGCCCTCGCTGCGAGGGGGACCCAAGTTCCCATCGGCGAAAACACGTGGGTTTGCTGTCCTGGCTCTAAGATGGTGGAATGAGCTCCCCATTGACATCAGGACGGCAGATAGCTTGCACATCTTCCGGCGCAAACTGAAAACTCATCTCTTTCGACTCCACTTCGAGCGTTAGAACTATTAACGAAGCACTTTTATACTAATAAAGGACTGGCTTACCTAAAGCCAGTTGAGTAGCACTTGAAATGTTTGGCTCTATGAAACCTGATGTACTTATATGATTCTGTTTTCTTCAAGGTTGTGTCTTCCTGGTCGAATGTACTTATTGTAAGTCGCTTTGGATAAAAGCGTCAGCTAAATGCAATGTAATGTAATGTAATATACTGCGCAAAATACAGGTAACAGGAGACAGAGGACAGCCATGGTCAGACAGGAAAACATTCAGGAGCTATCTGGAT